ACTCGTTATGCATCTCATTGTATCTGCCGCTCTTGACATCTGATTTCAAATGCCATCTTAACCTTTTGATCCTACAGAACACCTTTTGCTTGCTTTGTCAATATATGTATATTTTAAGAGAGTTTCCTGGCACATTTTGCTGTATGAAGTATCAGTAATATGATGTTATATACAGGATATCATGCTTTGATATTACATTCCTAACAAAAACCAAACTTTTAATCCTCAGAGCACTCTTTTGTATGGAATCTGATCTGTTGATGCTTCCAGAGGTCACAGAAAGAATCTCTATTGAACTGATATAAGATGCTTGTTGAAAGTATTTGCTTGTAAAGCAAAATGTATTGATTGGATTAGTCTTCTTCCCCACACGGCAAACAAGAAAACACAGTGATCTCTTTGCACTCCGTTAAGATTGTTCCACTTTATCTTTTTGCTGCTGGCCGTAGAAATCATATATGTTATATGAAAGATTATATATGTCTAAGACTAACTAAAGGTGTTGACATCCTGTACAGTGTTGTTTGCCACTTATTGTGTATGCATGTTTGTTTACAGACATGCTTATGTGCACACATAAACAAATATGTTTCTAACATTTCTGTTAATTGGCATAATATGAGTTTGCCTCAGTACAGATAATTACTGTTTATTTTTAGTAAGTTTTTTAAGATAAAGATAATGAATCCAGATTGAATGAGAATTAGTAATAAGAAGACAAATATTATGTTGAAGAAATAGTAAAAAGTTTGAGCAAGTGATCTGGCTGGTGTAATTCAATCTATGGCTGCATTTTAGTTGCTTGTCAACGAGACTTTTATAAGCAAGCTTCTCAAGCAAAGACATTCTATCAGAGTATCCAGTGTTGATGAGAAGTTTGCTTTTATTAGAATGGTTGAATTATAGACTAAATAGCAAACCTATAATTCTCTCTCTCTCTCTCTCTCTCTCTCTCTCTCTCTCTCTCTCTCTCTCTCTCTCTCTCTCTCTCTCTCTCTCTCTCTCTCTTCTCTCTCTCTCTCTCTCTCTGTCTCTCTCTCTCTCTCTTCTCTCTCTCTCTCTCTCTCTCTCTCTCTCTCTCTCTCTCTCTCTCTCTCTCTCTCTCTCTCTCTCTCTCTCTCTCTCTCTCTCTCTCTCTCTCTCTCTCTCTCTCTCTCTCTGTCTCTCTCTTTCTCTCTCTCTCTCTCTCTGTCTTCCTTTCTCTCTCTCTCTCTCTCTGTCTTTCCTTCTCTCTCTTTCTCTCTCCCTCTCTCACTGTCTTCCTTTCTATCTCTCTCTCTCTCTCTTCTTCCTTTCTTCTCCTCTCTCTCTCTCTGCCTTCCTTTCTCTCTCTCTCCTCTCTCTCTCTCTGTCTTCCTTTCTCTCTCTCTCTCTCTCTCTCTCTCTCTCTCTTCTCTCTTCTCCTTTCTCTCTCTCTCTCTCTCTCTCTCGTCTCTCTCTCTCTCTCTCTCTCTCTCTCTCTCTCTCTCTCTCTTCTCTCTCTCTCTCTCTCTTCTCTTCTCTCTCTCTCTCTCTCTCTCTCTCTCTCTCTCTCTCTCGTCTCTCTCTCTCTCTCTCTCTCTTCTCCTTTTCTTCTCTCTCTTCTCTCTCTCTCTCTCTCTCTCTCTCTCTCTCTCTCTCTCTCTCTCTCTCTCTCTCTCTCTCTCTCTCTCTCTCTCTCTCTCCTCTCTCTCTCTCTCCTCTCATCCCCCATTCTCTCTCCTCTCTCTCTCTCTCTCATATCTCTCTCTCTCTCTCATATCTCTCTCTCTCTCATATCTCTCTCTCTTCATATCTCTCTCTCTCTCTCTCATCTCTCTCTCTCTCTCTCATCTCTCATATCTCTCTCTCTCTCATATCTCTCTCTCTCTCATATCTCTCTCTCTCTCATATTCTCTCTCTCTCTCATATCTCTCTCTCTCTCTCATCTCTCTCTCCCATTTCTCTCTCTCTCTCTCATCTCCCATATCTCTCTCTCTCCCATATCTCTCTCTCTCCCATATCTCTCTCTCTCTCCCATATCTCTCTCTTATCTCTCTCTCTCCCATATCTCTCTCTCTCTCCCATATCTCTCTCTCTCTCTCATATCTCTCACTCTCTCTCTTCTCCTCTCTCTCTCTCTCTCTCTCTCTCTCTCTCTCTCTCTCTCTCTCTCTCTTCTCTCTCTCTCTCTCTCTCTCTCTCTCTCTCTCTCTCTCTCTCTCTCTCTATCTCTCTCTCCCATATCTCTCTCCATTATCTCTCTCTCTCTCTCTCCTCTCTCTCTCTCTCTCTCTATCTCTCTCTCTCCTCCCATATCTCTCTCCTCTTCCCATATCTCTCTCTCTCTCTCTCTCTCTTCTCTCTCTCTCTCTCTCTCCTCTCTCTCTCTCTCTCTCTCTCTTCTCTCTCTCTCTCTCTCTCTCTCTCTCTCTCATCTCTCCTCCCAATCTCTCTCTCTCTCTCTCTATCTCTCTCTCTCTCTCTCCCATATCTCTCTCTCTCTCTCTCCATATCTCTCTCTCTCTCTATCTCTCCTCATTCTCTCTCTCTCTCCTCTCCCATATCTCTCTCTCTCTCTCTCTCCCATATCTCTCTCCTCTCTCTTCTCCCATATTCTCTCTCTCTCTCTCTCTCCCATCTCTCTCTCTCTCTCATCCTCTCTCTCTCTCTCTCTCTCTCTCTT